GGGGGGCCCTCCCATGAGTGCCCCCGAGGTTCCTGACATTCTGTGGAAGCCCCAGAGTTTGGGGGGGGTGTCCCCTGGGTGCCTCAGAGAGTTGTGGGGAGCAGGGGGGGGGAGACCTCTGCCCTTTGGTTTCTCACCGTGTTTGGGGGGGTCCCTGCCAGCCCACGGGGCTAAGCCAGGCTTTTCTCCCACAGCTGCCGGGCTTTACTACCTGGCGGAGCTGATTGAGGAGTACACGGTTGTCACCAGGAGGATAATCAAGTACATGATCTGGGTGAGTCCCAGTGCTCCCCGAAACGGGCAGTTCCTTCCCCCCCAAATCCCCCCCACTCCCCCCTGGGGCAGCTGTGGGGTGGGACATCGGCTGCGGACCTTGGGGACGCGCACTTGGGAAGCTCCGGCTTCCCCCGGGCCCACGATGGCTCTGGCTGGCGAGGGGGGAGGCTGGCACAGGCTGCTTCAATCAGCACCTCGCTTAACCCCAGGGGGGGTGCTGAACCCCTCCTGGGCGACCCCCTCTGCCCCCTTGGCTGGGGAAACTGAGGCCCAGGAGCCGCAGCAACAGGATGGGATTCCCAGAATCATCGCCCAGGTTGGAAAAGCCCTCGCAGCTCCTCCAGCCCCACCATGACCCTCCCCCTGACCGTTCCCAACTCCCCCAGATCCCTCAGCGCTGGCTCAGCCCGACTCTTCAACCCCCCCAGGGATCCCGGGGACTCCCCCCTGCCCTGGGCAGCCCATTCCAACGCCCAACAGCCCCTTCTGCACAGAAATCCTTCCTCAGAGCCAGCCTGACCCTGCCCTGGGCAGCTTGAGGCCATTCCCTTGATTCCTGCCTGCCTGTCCCGCCGTGTTTGCCCCGGGTAACCTCTCCCCCCTACACTTTTTTTTTTTCTCTTCCAGTTCTCCTCGGCCGTGCTGGTTGGCCTCTACCTCTTTGAACACTTTCCGGGGTTCATGGTGGGCGTGGGGCTCTTCACCAACCTCGTCTACTTCGGTTTGCTGCAGACCTTCCCCTTCATCGTCCTGACGTCCTCCAACTTCATCCTGTCCTGCGGTGAGTGGGGCCGTCGCCTTCCCCTGGGAGCAGCCGGAACCTTCGTCCCCCCCATCACCAACGCAGGGTGGCAGCAAAAGTTTGGCTTTGGCTGGTGCAGCCCCTCCCGCTGGGGCTTTGCAAAGGACTTTGAGCTTTGTGTGGTGCTTTTTTACGCTGCGGCTGCGATAATTGAGGGCTGGGCCTGACGGTTTGCGCTGCTTCACCTCCTGCTTCACCCCCACGGCTGGTTCTGCTCCAAACTCCGCTGGGGAAACAAAAAAAAAAAAAAAAAGGGTTTTGAAGTCAAACGACCAAACCTGGCGTGTGGAATTAACAGCCTGACGTCAGGCTGGGCTGCGCGTGTCGTCGTCGGGAGCTGGCGCGTGCGGGGAGAGAAGAGCTTTTGAGACAAAACGGCCACAATTCACGTGGGAGTTGCTCGGGTTTGCTGTTAGAAAAATGCATCGTCGGGCTGCAGTCGGGGGGTTTCTGTCCCCTTTCTGTGGTGGTTGTGCGGTGGTGTGGACCCAGCCCCGCCGCGGCTGCCAGGCCCTGCCCGCACAAACCCTGGTGTGAGGCAGGCACGGGGGTCTCCCCTCTCTTCGGGGGGGCTGGCGCGGGCGCAGGGCTGTAGCGTGGGGTTGGGCAGGGAATTCAAGCAGCAGCAGCAGTTTTTGGGGGCGAAACAGGCAGTTTAAGTGTTGGTTTGTTGCTCCGCATCGTAGGCTGAGCGCGGGAGTAGCTCCGCCGCCAGGGCTGTGCTGGTGGACCAGTAACTCCGCCTATTAAACTGGTGTTTGGCTGCTCCGAGTAGCTCAGTTTGCTCCCAACACGTCTCCGGCGGGTTTTAGGGTCCTGTACAGGGATCTGAGCTCACGCTCTGCTCCGAGCGATGGGGAGCGACACGTTAAGTCGCAAACGGGCACAATTTCTTCCGACCTGACTCCCCGATGCCCGTTCTGGGGCGCTGTCTGCACACGGCTGTGCTCCCCAAAGCCACGATTTTATCTCCTGCTTGAAAATCAGCGTAGCTCTCCCGTGGCTTTAGGTCAGGGGCTGCCTTTCCTGGCAGATCTGGGCTCTCATCTGGATCTTCAGCCACGTCCTGAGGCCGGAGAGGACGACAAAGCCGCGTTTGGGGCTCTGTCGACCCGGCACCTCAAAGAAAAGGTGAAAGAAGCTCCGATTTCTGCCTCTGAAGAACTAAACGGTGTTTTTCACCGCTGAGGACGGCGTGACCCTCCCTGTCCTGGCCGCATTTCACCTTGATTTGGTTTACAGATGGCACAAGAGCTTCTCTCCACAGCAGCTGTCGGGCACGCGCCGGGGTTTTTTTGCCGCTTCTCTCTCAGTGTCAGGCTGGGCTCTGCGGGGTGCCCTGGGGGACGCGGGGGGATAAAGTACCCGAGGGATGAGGGGCTCAACGGGGGCTGCAGAGAGGGACAGCCCATAGCTGGGACAGGGCAGGGGGGGCTCTGCCCGCTCACCCCATTTCTCACCAGATGGGTGAAAATATTTTAGCGGCGGCAGAAAAGGGGCCGTGGGGAGGGAGGGGCTGTTCCTGCCGGGGCAGGTGGGTGTCC